CAGATTCAACATAATCTCTTTCAAAATTTAAATGACATTTTCCACAGAAATAGAAAAAATAATTCTAAAATTTGTATGGAACCATAAATGTTCCCCCAAAGCCAAAGCAATCAAGTGAAAAACAGCAAAACTAGAGGCATCACATTACTTGATTTCAAAATTCACTGCAAAGCTATAGTAATCAGAACAGCAGAGTACAGTACAGGCATAAAAACAGACATAGACCAATGGTACAGAACAGGGAGCCTAGAAATGAATCCAGGCATTTATATGTTCAGTTGATTTTTGAGAAGTTGCAAAAAACACAGAGTAGAGCAAAGATATACGGTCTCTGTAAAACTAGATATGCATGGGCAGAAGAATAAAATTAGACATTTATCTCAGACCACACACAAAAAATCAACTCACACCATATACAAAAATTAGGACTTGAAATGTAGTACTAGAAAAAGACATTGGGAACAGCTTCATGAGATTGGTCTAAACAAGGATTTTTGGATACAACCCCAAAAGCAAAAGGAACAAAAGAAAAAAATTTAAAAATGGGATTATGTCAAACTAAAAAAGTTTCTATTCAGCAAACAGAACAATCAATACTGTGAAAAAACAATCTACGGAGTGGGAGAACATATCTGTGTACCATATTTGTAAGAAAGGTGTATGTAGCAACTATTCACAATGAAGGTAATCATTATGTATTGGAAACATGAACCAAAAAATAAATGAAAATTGGGAAGGTTATTAGAGATGGAAAGAGGGAGCAGAGGGGAGGGGAAGGAGAGTAGAAGGAATTAAGATATGTTAAGTACATGTGCCTGCTCCCTAAGATGAATGTAAACATTATGTACTGTAAACATGCACTAATAAAACAAAATTTTAAAGCCATACAATAGAAATGGATCTTGGGAGCTTGTTTGGAGGTTCTAGCAGGGGAGTACAGCTAATTGTGTACCCGCCTCTATCAGGATGGTCCTCTTCCACTGAGCATGGAGCTTGGGAGGGGCACACATGGAATGGTGAGGGAGGAAGGGGACCCCACCCTGCCAGCCAAATCCCTGAATCAATGCTGGTGATGGATGGGGTGACAGATGTCACAGCCAGATCGCCCTCACATCCGGAAATGGGATAAAATAAAATAAAATTTATTTTTAAAAAAGGATCTTATTTTGTAAACGCAAAAGCCATATAATATTTAATCTCAAAAGCTCCTCTAAATCCATGAAGGCATGGCATATAACTCCCTAGTGTTGCCAAATCATCTCTATTTTGCATTAAGTGAGAGTTTCTGATGTGTAAAAAAAATAGAAATAAAAATATAAGGAACATAATATGATAATAAGAAAACAAACATCTTAATGAAAACAATAGGCATATGATCTGAATAGACATTTTGCATAAAAAAAGACACAAATGGCCAACAGGTGTATGAAAAAAATTCTCAATATTGCTTAAGCAACAGGGAAATGCAATCAAAACCACAACAAACAAACACCTTTCACCTATTAGAATTGCTGTTATTAAAAAGTCAAAAAATAAATGTTGGCAAGAATGTAGAACAAAGGAAACCCTTGTACTGTTGTGAGATATAAACTGGTACAACCACTATGAAAAATAGTAGGAAGGTTCCACAAAATATTAAAAATAAAACTGATGTGGTCCAGCAGTCCCACCCCTGGGTATACTGTACATCCAAAGGGAACGATGTTAGTAGGTTAGAGTCCACACTCCCATGCTCATGCAGCATATTTACAAAGCCAAGACGTGTAAATCACCAAAGGATCCATCACAGATGCGTGAAGAGAGAAAATGGGGTTTGGCCTTTCTATAATATTGTGAATAAAGATTTCAGTACTTTTTAATTAAAAAATTTTTTTATTTTATGAAAGATTAGAACAAAATTTCATAATGAGCTAATAAAAGAATAACAATAGCTAATATGCTATATTTCATTATCTCACACTCCTCAGTGTTTTAATGAAGTTTATAATGTGAAATTGGTTTGAGACTTAGATAATCTGCCTTTTAAATCTATAAAGAGGGTCTAATTAATAAGGTAATCAATATTAATAGTTATGTGCTATTAATGTACAATAATACAAAAGAGACTATATTTTTCATGATGCTAACAGCTGAACTACATACTATGTGTATAATTTTAAAAAACTGAATCATAGAAAATAATAAATAATTAAATGGCAATCTTATTTTCAGTTATTTTCTTGGAAAATATTAGAAAAAATCATTTTGAATCACTGAAAAAGGACAATTTTCACCTTTATTTTTCTGTATATTTTTAAACAATCTGGCTTATCTTCAAGCTTGTGTAAATTCATTTTAAACTGCACATAATCTATTTTATAATAATTTTACATTTGTTTGATTCCTGATGTTTTCTACTGAAATCTTAGAAGAAAATAATATACTCTTCTAAGTAACACAGAATACTGAAAAGAGATCTGGGCCAGAAGAGATATGATTCTGCTCCTGGCTGACCGAGTGTATGAACTTATGCAAGCCACTTATTGGTGGGTAAATCAGAGGTGTCAGCATCTGCTCATCTTAAACAACTGTTGTGCGGGAAAAGTTCTTAATTCACCCAGCACTTGGTAATGCTTCATGGTTTCTACTGATGGAGATGTGAAGACAAACAACATAGTTCCTTCCCTTCAGAAACAGAAGGACGTGTAATTAAAACAGCAATTTGGGACTGAATTTACAGAGTGCTTCTGGAAGGAAGAGATCCTAAAGAACAAACTGGAATTAATGAAGAGAGTACGAGAGAGAGAGAGAGAGAGAAGCAGGGAGAGAGAGAGAAGCAGAGAGAAGCAGGAAGAGAGAGAGAAGCAGAGAGAGAGAGAGAGAGAGAAGCATTCAAGGAAGAGAGAATTCCATTTCACAAAGGCAGTGAGAGTGGAGAGAGAAGCGATTGCGGGACCTGAGAATTATCCAGCTGGAAGAGGAGGGGCAAAGTTAAGTGAAAGGGTGGGAGGGTAGGCAGAGCCACATTATTAAAAGTAACATGCAGTGCTATGGATTTTCATTTTAACTGCAAAGCTATGCATAGAGTTGAGGGACTATGAATGATTATGAAAAGGGGATTTAAGGTTTTAGAAAACTGTTTTTGAAGGCAACATAGAAAATAGAGGCTGGAAAATTAATTCAGAATCCATGGTATTAGCTCAGGTGAGAAAAATGCAAGGCCCTAAACCAAGACAAGAGTAGCAAGGAGGAGAAGAAAGAATGATCATGAAATGGCGTAGAGATAGAACTGACAGTCCAGTGTTTGAAACTGACAGGCCAGTGTTTGACTGGATATAGAAGAGAAGAAATTGGAAATTAGGGTTAATCAAAGGTTTCTGATTTCTGGATAAATAGTGCATTTCTTATCTACAAGATAGAAAGAAAGAATCTAAGGTACGTTTCTACCTACCTAGGTTTCTGGAGCTAGACAAGTTCAATTTAAACATGCTGAGCTCATTACACCCCCAGGACATCCAGCTACTGGGGAGATGAAATTCACCTGACAATGCTATGAACTATTCAAAGGCGCATACTGTTCATTTCATATTTTCAGTATGGGTATTAAAACTCTTGCAGGGACACTAGATAAATTATTATAGTATAGGTGAATACTGCTCAAGAGTATTTAAATAATATATCTCACTTCCTTACTGGATTTGCTTGCTTAATGAAAATTATGTATTTATTCACAGAATCATTTCCATCAAGCTATCTCTAATGGTGTGTAGCTTCTTGTTTGTGTTCATGTGGCTGGCATCTGGACTGGATTAAAGAGAGCTACCAAGCAGATGCAGACAGAAGACAGCATTCTGGAACCCTTCTTCCATCTAACCTCACTGCCTATCACATTTTTCTATATGCATTCCTACTTCCAGCCACCATGGGGTCATCTAGTCTTAGCTTAAATCAAATGTCCTCTGGCTCCAAGTTCCATATGAAAAAAAATTTATGGAGTCTTGGACACATTACAAGTTTTACAGCTTTACAGCTGAAATCCTTCAGGTCTTCCTGACTTACTGAAGGAAAAAAATATGTTTTATTTTATTGTGATTCCCAAATGTTCTCCCAGTGTGTGCATTTTTCCAATAGAATGTGCTGGTTGCTTCCAGCAATGTGTTTTATATTACCTCAAAGAGTAGGGAAGCTCTGATAGAAGGAAACAAATTAGATTTGTTGCCAGTAAAAGAGAAAATAGTACTTGCCATTAGAAGTGTTAGTTGACCAAGTCTATGGACTACCAGTTTGTGTTTCTCTTTTACTGGGTATACCCTATATGTCAATGACTATATCCTAATTGAATGCCATGTTGGCTTCTTAAATGGCATATCCCCTCTGTGCATGTATATGTATATGTGTATGTATATCCCATGTTCTGATAAAGTTTAAGGTGTAGTTAGTTCAACACCCTTGAATTAAACATTTCCTGGATAATAAACAGGTTTACCAAACATATGCTGTAGGGTTTAGATCTAGAATGTTCCCCACAGTCTTGTGTTCAGAAATGGGGCTTTTGGAAGGATCATGAGGGCTTTAATTTCATCAGCAGAGTAGTCCACTGATAAGATCATAATTCAGTGGCATTATTGGGAGGCAATGAAAACTGAGGATGTGGAGCCTAGTTGAACAGAATAGGTCATGGGGCATGCCCTTGGGGCCTATATCCTGTCCTTGTCCCCTGCTTTGGAGGCCTTTTCATTTTTCTCAGCTTCTTGGCTGTCAGAAGGTGAGCAGCTTTTTCATGCCACGCACTTCCGCCGTGATGTTTCTGCTCTGCCTCAGGCAATGGGGCTGCCTGACCATGAGTGGAGATACCATAAACCAAAACCTTTCCTGCTTTAAGTTGTTTGTGTCAAGTATCATGGTCACAGTGACAAAAAGCTAACTAACATATAGCCAAACCTAAAGTCTCTCTCTCTTTGGGAGATTCTAAGTACCTCATTTTGACGTTGCTTGAACATAAGATATCTAAAGAAGCTTACCTTGATGATAAAATCTGCCATGAGTGGTCCAGTCATTCTCAGTATTTCTTTGTCTGGAAGTTTCTGAAAGTCCACACTAGAATTGTCCACAAGAAAGGTGCCCGTAGAGCTGAGACTGTTTTCACCTTTAGCCCCGTGGAGGGTTTTGGTTTCCAGATCTACATATTCAAAAATATGAAGAGGTGAGAAGGATGTTCCTAGGGTTACCATAGATCACCTGTGAGTACTGTTCATGCAACAAAGTAACGAGATGTATAAAGGAGAAGCATCATTCTTTGGCTGAAATTGTGATATTAAGAAAACATTAGGCATTGCTGGAGCTTATGCCACAGCTGAAATGATTTTAAAACTCACCAGCCAAAGCATTCAAGGAGCCCCGTCCATAGTCTGTGACTTGCCAGATGAACCTATCTGGGGATGCCCTTTCCCACTTCACCACAACACCGTTCCTTTGGCTAAACCATTGTCTGTATGTGGTATCTCACTAATTTTTGCCTTGATGGCCAACAACCTTGGAGACTCTTCAGTTCTCTTCTGTTGCTCTGTGAGATCCAGTGCACTTCTGAGCTGTCTCAGAATCTGTCACTATATTCATGTGTTAACTTGTTTTTTTAATGCTTTTGGGTTATTTATTGCATATATTCTATCACTAAAAAAAAAAACTGTAGTGGCTTATGGACAAGGGCCAGCGTTTATAGTGCTCCCTGTTTTTAATATCATTTTGATACTTCAGTATTCCACATATATGTGATGTTTCATAAGTGCTTAAGACATAAAGGAGAATTTGATTCCAGGAGCATTCAAATCTGGATTTGTTGTGGGAAGTCTTTTGTTGCGGGAAGTCAGAGCATCTGGGGGATGATGGCGACTATGGCGTGTACACCAGGGAACACTGACTTCTCATGTGATTGAGAATAATTGTCTGCTATATGAAGGACAATGGAGGGACTAAGGCTTATGGTTTCAAAAACTTGCACAAGAACCCTAGGTTTTTTTTTTTTTTGGTACCAGGGATCGAACTTGGGTCCTTGCACTTGCGAAGCAGGCAGAGGAAACACTGAGCTAAATCCCCAGCCCAAAGCTTTGCTTCCATGTTTTTTTTGGTACTGGGGATCAAACTTGGGACCTTGTGCTTGTGAGGCAGGCAGCGGAACCACTGAGCTAAATCCCCGGCCTCCAAGAACTCTAGGTTTTGGTAGCAGTTTTTGAGTAGAAAGATCAAGTGCTCAGGTACGGTTCTGAGTTTCTTACTCTAGCTTCAATCAGAATAGTTCAATTCATATTTTATAGCTTAGGGTTTGGGTCAACAACAACTTTAAGGGCTGTAGATGTAACAGAGTACCAAGGTATCTGTACTGTATTATCTTAGAGGTGTTCTACTTTGAGTTCTCTTCTACTATAAAGAATATTTGCAGGTAGGAAATGTTGGTGTTCAATTAAATGTGCAGAGACCCTCAGATGAAGTCTAAAGCCATGCTTGTAAGCATGCCAGGCTTCATGCCCTGCCCTACAGGAGCACACAGGATACATCAGGGCATCCTGGAGTGGGGACCTAGATCATTGTCAACAGAGGAGAGCCACAGCCCTGCATCTCATGCAACCAGTCTTCACTCCACAGGCTGCCTTGCATGCAGTTGTGGAAATATTTCTAGGACATGAATTAACTTATTCTTTGAGTAATCATGGGGGTCTATGCCTGAATCTGAGCATCTGATTCAACTTTATCCAGAATCCTCCCAGCTGTCCCCCTCAAGGTACGGCTAATTAAAGATGAGCGGGCTGGATCGGATTGTCTGGGTTGGCTCTGATTTGGCCCAAATGTTCAGTCAGTCGAATGCTGAACTCACTTCTGGGAAAGGAGGCAAAAGAGCTGCAGCAGATGCAGGGCATCATTTACTCCCACATTTGTTCTGCTGAGTTACGGGCCAAACAAAAAACAAAGCAAAGCAAAACATTTTTTAGCTACACATGTGCTACCCACAGCACATTGGCAGGAGGAAAAAAAGCAGACCTCATATCGCTTTTCATCATTTATGATTATCATTTGTGGCTTTACCCATCAAGCCCTTGGGACAATTAAACCAAACAACCCAACTGTTCAGTTTCTTGGTGATCACATAATTAGCAGCTATGATAGACTAATATATTTATGAAAATTAATTTTTCTTTTAAATCTCCAATAGGGGCTCATTCCCCAACTTGGTGATGATCTTGGCATGAATATTTTATTTTGGTATCTGTCAGTGTTCACAAAAATACTATTTTGGAGTGGGGTCGTTTCACCAGCAATCAGTTTTGTGTAATTCTCAAGGGGAAAACAAATCATTTAAATGGTAGTGGTGTATATTCATATATTATCTTTTGACAAATGAATACTTATTTTATGGGGTTGTTCAGGATTCAAAAAGAACTTGGGTCCAAATAAGGAGACTTACAATGCTTTTTTTGTTTTGTTTAAACTGTACCCTATTTATTCCTTTATTTCACATGACCCTTCACATCCCACCTCGTCAATGGAATATATTTATTTTTATTTTTAGAAAGATTGTATTTATTTTTATAAAAGTGATATTTTCACAGGCTCTGATTTGCCTTCCCCTTGTTTATTCTTCCAGCATGATTTCATTTATAATCCAATTTCCCAAAAAAAGCCTGCTACCTAAATCAGTGTCATAGGCATGTGAGTGGGAGAAGGGGAGAGAAGACGACACATGGCCTCCTGGGCATCTGGGGACAATCAGACTGCAGGAGGCCAGAAGTGCTCCAGGGCCCAACTGCAGGGGAGTCTTTCAGTGAACCTGAGCTTCACAGAATTGCTAGAACTTCCTCACCTTTGTTTGTATCCTACAATTTTCTCACTAGAACTTACAGGTCTGTATCTAAAAAGCACAAAACAGTAAAAACATGTGGCTGTGTACCACTGCCTTGGCACGACAGGTTAGTCTCTGCACAGGGCCCATGCTACCACCTGATCTTTGGGCTCCTATTACTCTCTAATCTTGAATTTCAGGATAGGAGGGTCCTGAATTAATACACAGTAGACTTCATTACCCCACAGCAGTTTTCTTTAAATGCCAGAGTGTTAAAATTAAAAGAAAAAAAAAGACAAGAAAGAGATCGGAGAGAAACAAGAGAAAGAATGAAATCGATATTCACAAAAGCATAAACACATGCTTAACTCATGAACAACCCATGGGACCATCTATTTTGTATTTTTCAGGATGAACGTGGTTAGAGATAATTATCACATACATTTCCAAAAGATAAACAGAAGCACTCAGAATATCATGTTATGAGAGAGTGGAGATTTGTACTCCTGTGCTTTAATCCCTTCTGGGAACAAAATAAATAATAATGGCTAAAATCCCCCCCCCAAAAAAAACAGCCGCCATTTACTCACACAAGTGGTCGGGTCCTTTTAAGACAAGGCGAACATGTCTGCTTCCATAGGGAATGGCAACCACGGTGTCATCCGCTAGGAAGAAACAAAACTGTCTTAGAAGCACAGCACACAACTTCACATAAAACTATTCATTACCCGCCCCCCCCCCCAAACTCAAAAACTCACAATTATTTTTGTGCATGTTTAAAATGTGAGAGCCAGTGTTTGGGAATTAAAATTTCTACCTTCCTCAAAATAAAAGATAGCAAAGAAACTAGTCATTGGTTAACGTAGGAAGATTTGGCCTTTGTCAGAAGAATATGAGTTTTGATATGCTGAAAAATAGATTGGCAAGTTTTCCTTTTTTATTTTAAAATGGTCTTATAGTATCAAATTTCCTAGAATTAGAGCATTTGCATTGAATTAAAATAAAGGTAAATTTAATGTTCAAAGGATGAATTTATTGCATAAGAACTTGGACCTCTCTCTGGCATTTTACTGGGATAAGGAGGAAAAATAGGAGGAAGAGAAAATATATGTTTTCATGCTTTAAACCCATGAAGGGCAGAAATCCTGCTTTCTAGCTCTTGACTATGCTGTGTACTCACTGCATCTAATACTATCTATTGTAAGTGACCCAGAAAGGGTTAGTAATGTTTCTTCAAACATAGTTCCTCTTTTAAAAAACATTCTTTTAGGGCTGGGGATTTAACTCAGTGGTTTTGCAGCCTGCTGCACAAGCACAAGGACCCGAGTTAGATCCCTAGTACCAAAAAAAGAAACCCCAAAACATTCTTTTAGAAATCTGTCTAAATCACAGATTATTTTATTGCAGATTACTTTTTCAATTTTTATTTTTTTATTACGTGATTGCAGTCCATAATGACTACATTCCTCATGGGGAGCTGGTCCATGTACACGGCACATGGCAGTTCCTTGGTCACCTCTCTACCTTCTCTTGTTCCCCTTCTCATCTCATTTGCAAAAGCTCTATCTCCCTATTTCCTACTATCTTTTAGTTTGATTTTTATTTATATTTAGAGTTCTTCATATAAGAGAACCATGTGATATTTAAACTAATGGAGCCTAGGTTTATTAGAAGCAGATACTTTTAAGAAAATTAGAGTTAGATTAGATACACCCCAACTATACCATCATGCCGAACTCCATTTGTGACAATGTCTTTTATTTATATGTCACTGCAGAGTTTCACTTTCATCTAAATTATACCACTTACTCCTGTATTTACAACCTGTGACATAGGCAAAGAGGATTTTATGGTGAAGAAGTGCGGTCTTTAAGAAGTATAATGAGAAATCCAAGGTCAGATGGACAGAAAGGCATGCAAAACTCCCAAGTTCTTCAAAACTCACCAGCATATACAGAAGCTCTGAGGAATTCTCCGTTTCTACATCTTTGCAATATTCTACATTTTCACTCCTATCATTGGAGCAATTTATTTTACATAAAAGACCCCCCAAATCATCCAATTTCTCTGAACTTTAACATTATCTCTTTTTCTTTTTCTTTTTGTGATACCTGGGATCAAACTTGGGACCTTGCGCTTGTGAGGCAGGTGCCAGAACCACTGAGCTAAATCCCCGGCCCCTAAGATTATCTCTTGTCTTCAGGAGAATGTAGTTTAAATAAGTGAATCTCAGAAGTTATCTAACTTCTCTGATCCTCAGTTTTCTTGTTTGTAAGACAAGGAAAGCAACACGTACCCTCACAATACTGTTGTGAGTAGACATAAATACAGACGGACACCGATAGAGATGCTGTCAGGGTTTGGAACTGAGAATTCCCCAGCGCCTCATGTGTTTGGAAGGTGACTGGGTCACGGGACTGGTGTGCTGATGGGTTCCTGGAGGGTGTGTGTTAGGAGGTGGGGTGTGGTTGGAAGAGGGGTTGCAGGGTGTTGGAAGGGTACATCTCTCTGGCTCCTCCGTCCTCTGCTTCGTGGCTGATATGAGTGGTTTCCCACTGTGGCAGCCTTCTTTCTTTTGTGCCATTTCTATGTTTGATCCTGCCAACCACGGACTGAAACTTTTGAAACTAAGACAAAGTAAACCTCTGTTCCTCTAAGTTGTGAGTTTCAGGTATTTTGTCTCAGCAACATAGAAAATGACTAAGCCAGATGTATTACATGGAACATAGTAGGTATTTTGTAAATTGTATTTTCTTCCTCTATCCCAAATTTCTGAAGAAAAGAAACTGAAAGATGGTTTATTTTTATTGTGTTTTTGAGCACTTCAAGGACCCCAGCACATTGCCTGGTGATTGAAGGAGAATCATGTCTTAATTCTTGCCACTAAAAGGCTACATTTACTGCGTTCCCTGCAATATTCAGTACTCCACTCACACTGTAACCTTCTAGCTGTTTTTAATGTCATGCATTGTTGAAGGAAAGATTGGATTTCAGAAAGCTAAGAATTTATGGCATATAAGAATAACAAAATGTAAGGGAAATACAGAAAAGGCACACAAAAATGTCAAGACTGGGCTTAAATGCCTCACATAAAGATGTGAATTTTTAAGTTGGCAAAAGAAATTCGAAGCAGTTAAAACAATGGGACTTCTACAAATAGAAAGTCTTTGTGTATCCATGGGTCAAACAAAGTGCAGGTAAAAGGGAAGCTTTCTGTTCAGGGCACAGCAGCAGGCTCCCGATCCACACTTGGTCCAGGCGGCCTCCCTCTCGCTGCGTTGAGGACTCACATTCCACACACTGCAGCGCTGATCCTGGCTTTTGGCGGATGTGGTAGCATTTGTGTGTTCCGGAAGAAGTGGGGGGCCCTAGGAGACTGCTTGGGGAGGAAGGTAGGATGGAGGAAGGAAACCAGGCAAAATCAGGGCATCTTCTGAAGCCCTGCTGCACTTGCCTCGTCAGGGAAGTGTGGAATGACTCGTGCTAACGCAAACGGCGGCAGGCATCACACAGTCCACGCCAATGTTACAAGAAAGTCCGATGGACCCCTGGCAGGGCATTAGGAAATCAGCAAATTCTTTACTTTATTCTACAAATAATGTTTAAGTGTCTCTTAGTGTTGCGCACCATGTTAGGGACTAGTGGCTCAAAGAAGACAAACAGTCTCACAAGATGTTCCCTGAAAAAGGATCCTCCAAAAAGACACATAGGGAAATCCTATATGCTGTGCTTTACTCACCGTAATTCCCAAGACGAATTAGTAGTTTCTTAGGAACACAGACCCAAAGAGCCCATTTCACTCTGCTTAACCTCGGGTATGCACAACATGTTTATCCAGGGAAAACTTTTCTCATATATCAGCTGTTAACATCACCGGAGATAGCTCAGGTTAGAGTTTAAGAAGTAGTGCTTTTCATTTAACAAAAAGCAAAATAGGAAAACATTAAAAATTTAATTTACTAAATGTTGATAAAAAGTAACTCTAAATTGTATATCTACAAAAGGTTATCTCATTTTCTGATAAATTCTTAGCAATTTGAGACAGGATAGGGATTTTTCTACTTTGCATCCACTACAGTGCTGTGTACAGAGGGGTGCTTTAGAGAACCCTGAGTGGGTAAGCAAGCTGGTACCCTGCAACAGGGCCTGTGAAGAGGAATGGCTGGTGTGGCGGTGACCGCATCCTCTCTCACCATGCCATGCAGCCCTCTGAGTGTCCCTTCTTACAAAAACACATTGTTCTGTGACCAAGTATCCTAATTTATTCTGGCTTTGTTGACAGAATCACGATGTCAGTCTGGGACATATTTCTAGATTATTTAACTGACAATTCTAAAAGGCCTCCTTCCAAAATTAGGTAACCTTTGTCCTAGTTAAATAAACAAGCTTTTCACCGGGATCATATATTCTGTCATTTCACATAGATGAGTTGCAAATGGCCTTTCTCAAGAAAATTATCACTAAAGATTGTATGTAAAAGATTTTCTTTTATGTATATTCAATGCCCTTCTATATGTTATATTAATTTTTAAAATTTTACCATTTGTAGATGTTCTGGATGATTTATTGGCATATCACAGAAAGGTGATAATGCTAATACTTAAAAAGTTTAGGATGTCCTATTCTGATATCTGAATTTATCTTATTTTTAGATCTGTTGATAAGCTCATGATTTTAAGGAACCTTCCCTGAACATACAGGTTAGTTTTACTAACCTAATACTTAGTTTTGTTTTTTAAATGGAAGGGACATTATTGTTAGTAAAATTAACCACATACGAACAAAAATCTGCCAATATGGAAGAGATTTTAATGGTATATTTTAAATCTTCATGTCAATTTTACTACCCTTAAAATATATCCAACAAAATAAGGAGAAACTGAACATTTGAGCCTTTCAATGTCCCCTCCAGCTTGTTAGTGATTATATCATGGAGGATGTATACTAGACAGGCCACCCAAGATGCTTGCCCATTCCAAATGGGGAATTTCATTCTCCCAGCTGCCTCAGCCCCAAACTTGGGTGCCATCTTTGACTTCACCTTAATATCTAATGGGTTAGAAAGTCCTATTGTCCAAACACTTGATTTCTTTGATTCCAAGTAGAACAACTTTTCATATTGTAATATGTATGAAATCACAATATATGCTACAATTATTACTGCATTAAAGTCTCTCACACAGGCAGTGATCTTGCTACAGCTATCTTTGCCCACACTGGTGCCAACATCAAAACAGCTGGTGTCAAACTTGAAAAATGGGTGTAAGTTTATTTTAAAGGTGAGAGGTGAAGGGGTAAGGGAAGAATTGGCTCTGCAGAGCAAACTTGGGTTGAATAAAAGAGGAAAAGAGAAAAAACAAGCAAAAATAAAAGTGCACCATGGGTCTGGGAAACCCAGGATGGGCTACTGTGAAGAGTTATGACAGTGAGTGCCCCGTGGCATCTGTGTTCTTCACTTGATCTTAGCCAAAAGGGCAAGAAGCAATTGCATCTGTGTTCTTATATCCAGTCCACATCTCGTGGGAACCCGTGAGGAGTTCTCCATATGGGGTCCTGATGGTGTCCTGGGATCTTGTAATTATAAGTGGTCCCACCCACTTCTTCAGCCAGTGCTTCTGCCTATCTCCTGTATCATTCCCCTTTCTAGAATATGGCTTTCTTAGAG